AACCTCACTCAAGGAGAAGGATCTTGGGGTGAGTATAACACCGAGCATGTCTCCGGAAGCACACATCAATCAGATAACTGCTGCAGCATATGGGCGCCTGGCAAACCTGAGAACAGCATTCCGACACCTTAGTAAGGAATCATTCAAGACACTGTACACCGTGTATGTCAGGCCCATACTGGAGTATGCAGCACCTGTTTGGAACCCGCACTTGATAAAGCACGTCAAGAAACTAGAGAAAGTACAAAGGTTTGCAACAAGGTTAGTTCCAGAGCTAAGGGGAATGTCCTATGAAGAAAGATTAAGGGAAATCGGCCTGACGACACTGGAGGACAGGAGGGTCAGGGGAGACATGATAACGACATATAAAATACTGCGTGGAATAGACAAGGTGGACAAGGACAGGATGTTCCAGGGAGGGGACACAGAAACAAGAGGCCACAATTGGAAGTTGAAGACACAAATGAGTCAGAGAGATAGTAGGAAGTATTTCTTCAGTCATAGAGTTGTAAGGCAGTGGAATAGCCTAGAAAATGACGTAGTGGAGGCAGGAACCATACACAGTTTTAAGACGAGGTTTGATAAAGCTCATGGAGCGGGGAGAGATAGGGTCTAGTAGCAACCGGTGAAGAGGCGGGGCAGGAGCTAGGACTCGACCCCTGCAACCACAAATAGGTGAGTACACACACACATATATATATATATATATATATATATATATATATATATATATATATATATATATATATATATATATATATATATATATATATATATATGTATTATATATATATGTATATATATATATATATGTATATGTCGTGCCGAATAGGCAGAACTTGCGATCTTGGCTTAAATAGCAACGCTCATCTTATCATATAGGACAAGTGAAAATTTGTGTATGCAATAATTTCGCCAAAATCATTCTGAACCTAACGAGAAAAATTTATTTCACTGTGTTTGTTTAGTATTAAATTATTGTAAACAAATCTAAAATATATTTAATTGGGTTAGGCTAAAATAAATTGCGCTTGTTATAATAAGGTTAGGTAAGTTTTCTAAGTTCCTTTTGGTGCAAAATTAGAAATTTTTACATCAACATTAATGAAAAAAATATATCTTAAACGTATAAGAGAAAATTTTAGAAAGGACTTAATTTTAAATGAGTTCTTGCTAATTGACCAGTTTTCCATATTCGGCATGACATATATATATATATATATATATATATATATATATATATATATATATATATATATATATATATATATATATATATATATATATATATTATATGGGGTCCACCTCTGGTGTAAATTGTGGGAGCCACAGCCTCGGAGAAGTGGATAAAAAGGCTTCAAGGAAGAATATTTGGATTTCTTCCTGAAGCCGTTTAAATATTCCACTTCCCCTACCACCCCATTTTTTTCATTCTTTTTTACCAGTAGGAATATTTTATTACATAATATGGTACAAAAGGTTTAAGAGATACATTGTTGATATAAAGATGACATATACAGTACATGAGATGTGAGAGATACATGTCTGGTACATATTATTACGCGTTTGTCACTGATTATAATGCGAAAATCTCATCCAGCTCTTCAGAACTGGGGTGCGTGCCCAAAATACAGCAGGCATTACCCCTCTGAACAGTAGCGCTGAGTCGCTGGAACAGAAAACTAGCTGCCCTGGGATCCCTAGTTACCCTGGTGAGTCTTTTTCCCAGCTCCTTAAGGAATTTAGATGCATTCTTTTCCCATGAGCCAAGGGTCTCTGAGCCTATGGGAACAAACATATAATGATGGGCAAGTTCTCCATATTTTCTAGACTTTTGGGACTCCCTGAAGCTGGCGGCTGCCCCTCCTTCCTTCCTGGTGTATTGGAGATAGGTATCAGCCAAGGTAGATGCACATGTGTAGTCCCACACCACCTGCTTCCCATCTGTCCAGGCTTGAAGTGTGATACCATCTGGACGCTTCTGGCTGCCATCAGATCTGCATAGTTGGGGTGGCTCCTTTACTGCTGGGCATCCGGCTGTTGTGAGGCTCCTCTTGATGATGTTATTAACCTCCTCATGTCTTGCAATTTTTCCCTCGGATTTACGGCACACAAGACGATGGTACCCGAATCGGTCTGCTGCTTCACTGCCACAAATACACCTGTGTTGGGCGAGAATAGGGGCGGCAAGTCGAAGGGCAATACCAATGCGGATGGTCTGTGGGTCGAGCCGTGTGCCAAGGCAGGAGTTGGGAACAGCCAACAGAAAGTCCCCTGCATGAGGAGCTCCCACTGCCAGGAAGCGGGCTCTATCCTTCCCTGACACACACTTAAGCATTGTTGAGGGTATTTTCTCCACTATCGGGCCATCCCAGTGTGATTGTTTGCAGTTGTTGGGGGATAGCAGGTCTAGTTTCAGAGCCCATTAGATTATCCCAGATCATGGCTCCGTCAATGAACTTTTGGTCCTAGACTCCAATCTTGTCCCTAAGATGTTCAGGGAGAATCGCTGCTACAAGCTCTCTGGATGCAGTGCATGAGGACAGAAAAGCAGGTATTGCAATCTGTGATGACTTTCACTGCCCATCTTCTAGAGTAAGGTTAAGTACTTTCGTGAAAATCTGCCTCAGGATACTGTCATATTCGTGCAGTATGGGGTTATCATATGAAGGTGCACATCTTAGGAAATATGTCAACCTGGGCAGACTCAAGCACTTTGGGAGAAGGTACAAGGCATCGTGGGTGTCCAGATTGCCTATATATATATATATATATATATATATATATATATATATATATATATAATATATATATATATATATATATTATATATATATATATATATATATATATATATATAACATAGTGAGGTACCACCTCTGGAACTGTCCTGGGGATCCTCATCCTCAGAGAAAACAATAAACTTGCTTCAGGGAAAACTCAAGGTTCTCCCTGAAGCTGTTTCAAAATTATTTTCTCCTACTACCCCCTATATTTCATATATACTTTATTTAAAGACAAAATACATTGACAAAAATACAGTAGTTAGTAAAACAACATAGATAACTCAGAGCTACATCTCGAATACTTCGTCCAGCTCCCCGGCGGTGGGCTGCGCGCCCAGAATGCTGCAGGTATTTCCCCTCTGGATTGCAACACTGAGTCTCTGAAAGAGGAAGCTGGCCGCCCTGTGGTCCTTGGTTTCTATGATGAGTTTTTCATCCAGCTCTTTGAGGAACTTTAGAGCACACTTGCCCCATGCTCCAAGGGTCTCCGACCCTATTGGGATGAAGTTATAGCAAGGGGAAAGGTCTTCATATTTACGAATCTTCTGAGTCTCCCTGTGGCTGGCATCTCCACCCCCTTAAGCTACGGACTATGGCAAGTGTCTGCCAATGTGGCGGCACAGGTGTAGTCCCAAGCATATATATATATATATATATATATATATATATATATATTATATATATATATATATATTTATATATATATATATATATATATATATATATATTTATATTATATATAATATATATATATATATATATATATATATATATATATAATATTGTTTATATAAATGCATAAATAAGTAATTATTGGCTTAATCATGTTGCTACTCATGTATCTACATTATCCGTATGCTCGTAGAAATAAAACATTATTATAGTTATAGAATATGACAGTATTATACAAGAATATGACTTCGTCAATCTTTTGCTGCATAAATATTGATAGCAAAGAATTTCCATGTTGAAGGTGGAATGGTATGTCAATACCAACCATTTGAAATAAAAAGACATTTTAATGAGGTTTGGAAATTTTATATTTGATAACATAGTGTTTGATTATTTTTATTGAGTCGGTCTTGAAATAAAACTTGCGTATTAAGTGAATTATTGGCATTTATAATATCTCATTATTACATTAAGAAGTCTTATTTTATTCCGGCTGTCCTGTAATATTTTGTTATTGGTTTGCAGGTCAGAGTTGATGGTTGATGCTTGGTGGCAACTGGACGCCCAAGTTTCCTTAGACAACACCAGCCTGAAGGTGCCAGCCTGGTCTTGTTCCCTCCTGCCACAACACCAGGTCTGTTTACAAACACTTCTCTACCTTATCCCAGCCTTTAAGGAGGCAACTTCATGCTGAGTAAGTGCTCTTGATCTAAGGAACTGGAGCTGCCCTTCCGTTTGAATCGACCCTGACTGCCTCTCATATGCCATGGATTCTGCGTCCCCTACGGTGTTAACGCTTCCCCATACATGCACTAGTTTACTAGGTTTAAACAGCGTCGAGTGCACGAGGTCATCAAGGCAGCAAGTCACTTGTCCATCGAGACTAAAAAACATTTTAACCTTTTTCTCATTATTAAATTATTATAATAATGAGGGTTATACAATACCTAGGTAATGGTAATGAGGTTTTACCCGAAAAAAGGAAAAGATAGATCCAATTCCTTGGAACAAGAAAACTTCAGCATCAACGTGAAGAACCCTACATGGACGGATAAGTTCTGATAAACGGGGCAAACTATGAAGAGAGGTTGAAGGATCATCGTGGTCTTACAGTCTTCACAGTCAGATGTGATCCTTGTGTATCATCGTGGTCTTGCAGTCTACACAGTCAGATGTGATCCTTGTGTATCATTGTGGTCTTGCAGTCTTCACAGTCAGATGTGATCCTTGTGGAGTCACGAGAATTGCTCCCAACAGATGACGGTGATGGAGTGAAAGTGACCAATGCGCCCAAGTTTGGCTTCACGAAGGGAAAAATGACATGCTACAAGCGATCTTGAAAGAGCTAAGTCACGACTGCCTGAGGAAGACTTCACAATCTGGAGCTATTGAACGTGCAGAGGAGTTTGTAAGTTCATTTTTCTGAATACTGGAATACCCAAGAACCCAACAAAAGATAGCCGGCTGTTCGAACAAAGCTAACGCTAAATGTGAAGAATATTGTTATGGATGGTCATGATCAGTGGTCAACATTGCTTGCAAGATACCTTGTCAGACTGAGAGTGTTAGGTAAAAGGTTACATATGTAACCAATGTAACATTTTTACTGTGGCAAGTTTCGCTCTCCAGGAGCTTTGTCAAGCCGTTACAAACAATACGTGGACAAGGAGGGTATATTTGGTTATTGGAATGAGGTGCAAGGCATATAATCGTTATAGGTAGTAATAGTAATACTAGTAATTGTACTACTACTGCTACTACTACCTACTACTACTACTACTACTACTACTACTACTACTACTACTACTACTACTACTACCACCTACTTCTACTACTTACTACTACTACCTACTACTACCTACTACTACCTTCTACTACTACCTACTACTACTACCTACTACTGCTACCTACTATTTACAAGTACTACTACAACTACTAGCATTACCACTGTTACCTATAACGATTGTATTATTTATGCCTTTCACCTCACTGCAATACCTATATATGCCCTCTGTGGCCTTGTGTCGTTTTTTAAGGTTTGACAAAGTTCCTGAAGAGCGAAACGTTGTCACAATAAAAATGCCGCATTAGCTGCACATTGTCGGTAATTCTACCAACATTATTACAGACTGAGATTACAACAAATAATGAGGCGAACCTTGTCGCCATGTAAGAACTCCAACAAGCAGTACACACAGACTTTAGTTTAAAAGCCTTTCAAAATAAAACTGAAACCAACGAGTATTTGTCTAACTCGGCGACATCAGAGGCCGCCTCAGCAGGAAGATAATATACAAGACACACCCCTCACACCAGTTATCTTTACAATACTCAGACAATTCTAGAATTTGTAAGAAAATGACGTCCAATGAGGACATGACAAATGTCCAAGTCGATGAAAACCAAGTTTAATAGTTGGATACAGAAAATATTGATTTTCATATGGAATAAATTTCTTCCGGGGTTTCCTGGAGGGGGTTGGGGGGTCAAACCCCCCTGGGGCCCCGGTCTGTGACCGGGCCCTTTGGTGCACAGGGCCTGTCAACCAGGCGCTTCTGTTGATTGCACGAAAACCGCCCGTAAGAACGCACCCCGGTTTCAGGTATGCTTTAGGTGCCTGTCCAGTCCCTGCTTAATTATAATAAAAAAAGGTAATGAAAAAAAAATTGAAAAGTAAAAAAACGCAGTCAAACCAATTGACAGGTTTTTTTTTTTTTTACTCGGCGTTCTCACCGAGGTAAAATAACCGAGGAAAAAGGGAAAATACTTGCATAGAAACATTTTCCCATCGTCATACGTGAGGTCAGGGTCACGTGTGGCATACTTCCCTAAGCTTTTTGGGAGTTAGCGTGGGTGTTACCAAGCACCAGGGCTTGTTGTTTTTTTTTTTTTTTTTGTTTTTGAATCTCAGGTTAAAGTTTTGAAGGGATTATACTTCATCAGGGGGAAAATGGGAAAGCTGAGTTTCCCTAGATGAGTTTGGGAGCGAGTGTGAAAGGATTTATCTGGTAAGTTGGGAAAATTTGTCACCACAGTGATAGTGGCAGCCGTTTTTAAGGGGCAAGTGGTTCACGTTCGGAAAAGGAAGATGGGAGATTAATAGAGAAGTGTAAAGGGTTGGAATCGATTCTCTGTTCCCCAAACGAGTGTACTTCAGTGGTTAGTGGGGTTAAAGGTACCATGTTCCCCGCAATCAAGGAAAGAATATTTTAATAGTAGGCATTCTGGGTTAAGAATATGGCCCGTGCATTTTGTAACGGACAAAAAGGGGTAGACGGGGTGTGTCCCCCTGGATTTGGTGTGGTGACATAGTCAGTAGGTTGGAAAATTTTAGGGCGGGTAAGGGAACAACCCCATTTTCTTATTTGCTGAGGGTAATGACATGGGAAAGGGAGGGGGGAGGGCGCGGGAAAAGAAGGTCGCCATAAAGTGTTAGGTCAAGGGAGGGATCCCGTCATATGTAGCCTCTTGCCTAAAAAGGGGAGTGGGCAATAAAGGGATGTCTAGGGAAATTTGGGTATAAATTGCTGGCTAGACAGGTACTGAAAGGAATTTGCAATCCCATTTTTGTAACTGGGACCTATTCTTGGCATAAGGGGTATGTAGTAGGGATGGGGTTTATCTTTTGGGGATGGAGTGGTTGTATTAGCCAATTCAATTGAGAGGGAAATTTGATGTCTTGTTTAAAATTTAAAACTGATAGATTTATGGGTTTGGGTGTTTGGGGGAAACAATCAGCTGCAGCATTGGTTAAAAACAGCAATTATTACTGGGATACCTCGGAATATGTTTAAAAGACAATATTCAAAATAAAGTTGTAGAAATGGAAATCAATTGATCAACAAAAAAGGATTAGAGGGCAACGAGTGACTAGCTCCCCAAAGTTTTCATACAAAGTAGGAGTTAAGAAATAAGATGATGAGCTAAAATTACTTGCAAGTGTAGGTAATTTGATATTATTTGGGATAACAAGACCCGGTTTAAACATGAAAGATGGAAAGCCTTCTGAAACAACATAAAGGGTTTAAACATTCCACACGTAGGGTCAAAAGGAAGGGGGGTGGTGTGTGCGATGTTTCAGAAAAAAATTTAAATTGTTGTCTTGACATGATTAAGATTAGAAAAATCAACAAGAATCTGTTTTGGCTCAGTTTTTCGAGGGGCGTGACAAAATTAATTTGGGGGGGTGTGATTTATAGGCCCCAACCTTTTATAGGGAGGCCCGGTAAGCTGTTTAGGACGAAATTTATAAGGGATCTAAGTACGAAATGTTGTGAAAGGGAAAATTTTTAACTTAGGACAAATTGATTGGAAACAATATGACAGGAAATTCTTAGTCAGTGACTTTCTTGATACGGTTCCCAAGGGTTGCTTTTTTTTTAACAGTTTGTGTTTAAAAAACCCAAAAGAGGAAACATCTCTTGACTTGGTTCTTGCCAAAAAAGATTCACTAATTAATAATCTTGGGTTAAAGATGAGCTTGGGGGGAAATGATCACAAATCACTTGTTTTAATAATCATGAATTTTCCCAGATAACTGCAATCAAATCTTGCCCGATTTTCGCTTGGGGCCGACTTCATGGGACGAAAAATTATTTGGGGGGCTAAATTGGGATGTCCGATTGGGTCAGGTAGGTGATTTTGGGTTTTGCCAATTGACTTTTTCAGAGCATATTCTAGCTGCCCAACAACTTTTTTTCCCCGGAGGGAAATTGATCTAAAAAAAGGGATCCGAATGAATAAACAATAGTTTTTAAAACATTCATTGGTAAAAAAGAGAGGCTATTAGGCGTATAAAAAGAGGGGATGGGCATTTAAAAATAAAAATTATTCAATTAAAGAGAAAAAAAAAAATCGAATAAAAAAAAGCAAAAAGGGATTTGAGGCTAAGGTCGAAAAAGGGTTCAAAGACTAACCCAAAAGAGCTTTCAGGTATAGAGAAGTAAGATTAGGGAAAAGATTGGGCCCCCTTTAAAGGGGAAAAATTTGGGTCAAATCAGACAGTGATAAGGATTTGTGTAAAATTCAAATACCTATTTCCTCTCAGTTTGTACCTAGTTCAGCTATCAAAATTTTGGGGGGGGCCCACCCCTGGACCCTTTTTACGACCTCTGAAATCTGTAAATCCCTTTGAAATTGCCCATTTGTGCCCAGCTTACGGGTTTTTTCCCTTTTGTAAATTGTGAGTTCATTCCCTTTGTAAATTGTGATTTCATTACCTTTGAAAATTTGTGAGTTCATTACCTTTGAAAATTGTGATTCTTTACCCAAAACTTGCTCAGTTCAAAATTTTGGGAGCCCATCCCTGGCCCAATTATGTACCTCGTATCTTTTGACTCCCCCACAGGAGGGGCTGGGGGCATAATAACTATTAAACTAAACTCTCATTTTTGACCCAGGAAAAATGCGACATCCAAATAATAGTTATGTAAACAGGATGTAAAAAACATGACGTTTCCCGGGTAATAGTGACTGGTCCTCAGACAAATGGAGAAACTAAAACCTAACAAACCCCCCAGGCCCCTGTGAATGTTTGCAAGGGTGTTAAAAGGAATTAAAAGGAACTTAGCATCCCTTTGGAAATTTTTTTAAAACATGTCCTACAAAACTGGCATGTGCCGTAAGTGGAAAATGGAAAATGAAATCCTATTTACAAGGCAGGTGCAGGCCCTTTGGGTTTCAAATTATGGGACCAATAAGCCTTACCTCCATAGTGGGAAAATTTTGTAATTAAATTCTGAAGAAATTTCGACCCCATTTTGACGGCACAGTTGAAAAATGAAACTCAACACGGTTTTCAAAGGGGCGTTCCTGTCTTACGAATTTACTAACTTTTTTCACTAAGGGTTAGAAGAGGTGATCTGGTAATAATAGAGGCTTTTGAGGAAATTAGGGCACACGGAATAGGGGAGAAATTTTTTCCGGGGTAGAGGCTGGCTGAAAATAGACAGCAGAGAGTTTTTCATAAAAAGGGGAGAAATCAGAATGGGGCACTCACAAGCGGTGTTCCCCAGGGGGGCGGTGTTTGGGCCCCTTGTTTTTCACAATTTACATAAACGAAAAGATGAGGGGAAAAAATGCGACATAAACAAAATTTTCTGATGACACCCAAAAAGGCGTCCAATTCATTCTAAAGAGGCATTAGAAAAACTCAGGTGATTTGAATAGCTGAGCAAAGGCGGAGAAGTGGCAGATGCAGTTTAATATTTACAAATGCAAAAATTCTAAATGTTGGACAGTTAAATAACCTGCCCTAATAAACTAAATAATGTAGGTTTTAAATTTCTGATTGCGAAAAGGATTTTGGAGTTCTGGTTTTCAGTAACTAAAACCCAAAACAACAGGCATTATTTTTTGCAATAAAGCTAAAAGAATTTTGGGTTCTGCTAGAAGTAAAATAAAAAAGTCCCCATTTTCTTTATTCTATATATCCCTTGGTTAGGCCTCATTTGACTATTGCTCAGTTTGGGCACCCATTACAGAATGGATTAAAGTCTGGAAAAAAGTACAAAGGAGGAGACAAAGATGAATTCCCCTGTATCAGAAATCTTCCCTTGAGGATAGCTGAGGGCCCCGAATCCCACTCTCTCGAAAGGGTAGAAAGGGGGGGATATGATAGAGGTGTATAAAGGGAAAAAAAGGGAAAAAAAAAGGGGATGTAAATAGGTGCTGAAAATTTTTCCCGCCAAGAAGGATCGCAGCAATGGTTTCAAATGAAAAATTCAGATTCAGGAAGGATAAGGGAAAGCACTGGTTTGGTAATTGAGTTTGGAGAGTGGAACAAACTCCCAGTCGTTATTGAGGCTAAAAAGTTGGTAGTTTTTTAAAAAAAGTTAGTTAAATACTGGTGGGGGTTTGGGGGGGTGTGATTGGACCTGACTAGCTTGTGCTGCTGGGTCTTGTGCAGTGCTCCATCCTTGAGTGGAGATGACCAGGCTGGGTGGGTTATTGGTCTAATCCGGGGGGGGAAACTTGGACCTGCTCCGCTTGGGTCAGTAGGCCTGTTGCAGTGTTCCTTCTTTCTTATGTTCTTATGTTCTTAATGTCATTCATTCGATGACTGTCTTGCCAGGAGCTTGATGTCATCCCAGTTCAGGTAACCTTCTCAAATGCAATATTTTTACCACTTCTTGAGAGTGCTGGCACTGTACTTCCAACCTCCAGGACTCAAATCTGGCTAACTGGTTCCTCTGAATCCCTTTATGTATAATACCTTGATCACACTTCAACAGCACGTCGAATTAAAAAATACCACTTGCCTCCACTCACTCATTTAACACGCTCCTACAAGCAGGTTGGATGTCCAAACCCTTAGCAGTCAGAATCTCCTTTTCCATCTGCCTCCAACCTTTTCTAGAACGATCCGTGCCCCATCTTCCCTCCACCCCAGATTTATACACCCTCCTAGGCCTCGCCCCAAGCCCTTTCTACATGTCTGTATCACCTCAACAATCCCTCTTCAGCTTTCCAAATAATAATTTTGGTAACCCCACAGCTCCTAATCTCTAATCTCCGAATTCTCTGCATAATATGCACATCACACAGTGTCCTCACGACATCTGCACTGCCTACAGCCTCCTTCTCACTGCAACGTTTAAAACCCATGCTTCCCACCTACATAACAGTGCTGGTACTACTACACTCTCCTATACTACTCTTTTTACCTTCATGGATAAGGCTTTTTGTTTCCACAGATGCCTCGGTGCAGCACCCATTTTCCCTTCATCAATTCTTTGGCTTACTTCATTTCTCAAAGACTCATCTCTTGTCAAGTCCAGTCCCAAATATCTGAACACATTTACTTCTTCTATATTCCCGTTCTCTAATCTGATATTCAATCTTCTCTGTATAGTTCTAGTCACTCTCACCACCTTATTCTTTCCTATGTTCACCTTCTTTTACATGCCAACGTAGATTCGTCTACCAACCATTGCAACTTTCTCTTCATAACCTCCCAAAAGAACCTTGTTATTGGCAAAAAAAACAACTGACAGCTCCAGCTTTGTATGAGATTCGTTGTATTTTAATCCCACGTCTCCCTAACTTGGACCATTGACAATGGTCCAAGTCGGACCGAAACCTCGTCGTAAGCTTCTCTCTTTTATGTGCGGGTTATTTGTGTATCGTTCCAGTCACGGTATTGTGCCTTTTTTTGTTACTAAATGATGAAGATAATATTAATAATAATCATGGGGAGCGCTAAACCCGTAGGATTAAACAGCGCGTGGGTGGGCTGGAAGGTATTCGGGTTCAATTCAGGGAACTGGAGCACAGATCCAATTCCCTAGATCAAGAGCCCCTCACCAGCATCAAGGAACCTCCCTTGAGGGGTAAATAATGAAGAGAGATTAGGTGACGCTGATTATTATTATTATTATAATCAAGGGGAAGCACTAAACCCGGAGGATTATACAGCGCCTGGGGGGGGGGATGTGGAAGGCATTCAGGCTTAATTCGGGGAACTGGAGCACAGATCCAATTCCCTAAATTAAGAGCCCCTCACCAACATCAAGGAACCTCCCTTGAGGGGTAAATAATGAAGAGAGATTAGGTGACGCTGAGAGGTCAGGTCACCTGACCCAATGAAGAGAGATTAGGTGACGCTGAGAGGTCAGGTCACCTGACCCGAGGTAGTGTGTGAGGTATGGGAGAGCCAAGCTGTGGCATGACTAGTGTCATGTTGAGGTAAAAACATATTTACAAGTATACCAGAGATGCCTTTCCCCTCTTCCCTGAGTTTTGCACGAGTGCTAGATTTTGTAAACCCATTACGGGTAATATTGCTTTTAGGGAATGAGAGGTAATCGGTTTGACCTGGGGAGGGAGAAGGGTAGCTCCAATTCCTTGGACCTGGAGCTTTACAACAGTATTTCGGCACCCCACTTGAAGTGGATGCTTTGTGAAATATCACTTCAACTGAAATTTGGGCTTGAAATCATAGTTGCTGTTTCATAGTACATGAAAAAAAATAGTATTATATTCATTTCGAAACTCAAAACAGTGTAGTCATAGAGCTCCTGTGGAATGGAAGATAATCAGGTTTTATCATTAGTAGAAGCTCACTCTGGTTCCTTATATAAAGAGCTCTTCACCAATATTAAGGCCTCCATTCCTTGAAGGGTTTATTACCGTGTTGTCTGTAATCCCAATTGTACTCATTAGCGATGTTTCCACAGAGTGGCGAGGCATCAGGGTGGACCAGCAAGACCAACACAAGCAGTAAGGCGCAGGAATGTTACGCTCAGTGCTTAGCGCTAGTGCCTCGTCAACAGGTGTGTTCCAACACTCACACCGTGCGTGAATTTCAACCTGTCCTCACCTACATGTTGTTCCTCCTGATGCGTCTCATCAACGGAGTGACGCTAGGTAAGGCCGTGGGTTTGTAGTGGTATTTTAGCATCAGAAAACAGATTACGTGTTTCTTGGCACAAGTCTTGGTCATATGATCACCTTATTGCTAAATCTCTTTGAATTTTGTATGAACCATTCCTTAAATTTTGTTGGCTCGTAATACGGAGATATCTTTCTCGGTCGCTCCGTGACCCGAGAAAGATATCCCCGTATTACATAACCTCAGTCCCAGTATGTTGAGAAATGGCATTACCAGTTAAGTTTAAAGAGTTTGTACTTAACTTAGAAAGACAGCTCATCGCCTGCACAGCCGCCCCTGCAGACGAGGTCTTGAGAAGCTGTCGAAGTCATCTCTCAATGGGCTGTAAAAAGTTATAATTTGTAAGATTATAAATTACCCCTAGGGGGTGTTATGTCAGCATATTTCATTCACTGATGGCTGACAAATTACATATTTGTTTGGACTCAAAAGTCCGCACCTTACTGCCGACTATAGGTTGATTATAAACTCCTTGCGACTCAAGAACTGCGCAGTCCCCCGTACTACAAGAAATTCGTAACCTACCTTGCTCTTGTAGCGTGAGCAATGGTGTTCTTCACACCTTCGACAGATATCGGTGACTTGATAGAAGCTGAAGTGTCCTTGGATGTCCACGTCTTCCATAGTCAAGGAATACGCTCACTGGTACACTATGTTCAACAAGATTTGTCTTTATTGTTCACAATCTTATCACTAAAGAAGCTGATCACACTTCTCTTAAGTGTTTATTGTGTTTTATGAGACACTTTGTTCACACTAACGCACAGATCGTTCTTTGTTGGTTATCCTGGCGTCAGTGTCACTCTCAGTAGAGTCAAAAGTAATCTGAAGATGCCACAGCGCCCCATGCCGTCACTCCCCTAGCACAAAGAAAAAGCTGACCTAGTACTTTTGCTTCCTTGCCACTTCCTCGATGAAGCAAAGCAGAATGTTTGATTCTTGCTGTCTTAAGCATAGACAACAATGTCCACTATCTTTACTATGGTAATAAAGTGGGAGCAGGATTTTCCTTAATTGTCCTGTTAAAGTAAGAGATGTACTGTCTCTTATTAAAATACACTCTGCAACACTGGACTGCAAGGAGCAACGGTCGCTTGACCACGTCGCATACTCGTACGGCATCTGTGATCAATTACTCACTGTAGCAGTAAACAAGACGCTTGCCCCTTCTGAGAGGGCTGGGCCCCTCAGAGCTGAAAGGGCTGAAAGGGGCTGAAGGGGGCTGATAGCCCCCTCCTGGAGAAAATTTCTCCACAGTACGTCAATAGTACATCCGACAGCGATAATACAGTTCGGCATAAATTTCTAATGCATTTAAATATTACCACAGGAGACTTGAAGTGAATCACGAGAGGAATTCACAAGTTATTATGTAGAAAATAGTAGATCTCTTCAATAAAAATGGCAAACTAGGAAATATACGGCACAAAGCTAATTCAAATCTTCCACTAAGAAATACCATCATTCATGCCAAAGTGAAGAGGCTATCCCAGAGTGACCTATATCCTATAAATCACCAGCACGTTAATTTTGAAACCGTTCAGATCTACATTACCAATTTATCAACGCTGAAGGGCTGAAGCCAACACTAATAATAATAGTGCTAATTTCTATAAGTACATGATACATGTACAAATCATAGCTGACATCAGTGTCATTCTGTATTTAAAGACCTTGGTTATGCAGAGCATTTCGGGCAACTTAGGTTAATTTTGTCCCCAGGATGCGATCCACACCAGTCGGTTAACACCCAGGTACCTGTATATATGTTGGTAGAATTACCGACAATATGTAAAGTAAAAGGACTCAAGTGCAACTAATGTGACATTTTATTGTGGCAACGTTTCGCTCTCCAGGAGCTTTGTCAAGCCGTGGACACAGGGTATATATAGGCTTAGAGTGAAGTGTAATACTAGTGATAGTAGTAGTAGTAGAAATAAGTTGTAGTAGTAGTAGTAATACAATGTTAGAATAATTAACTTGCACGTGAGTACAAGGATATCAATGCTATTACTTGGGTAACATAAAAATAGATTAGACAAATATTTCTAAAGAATTGAGAAACTTATACAACACATGGGAATCTTTATTGAAGAAATGTTTCCAGGTTGAGGGACTGATTACCTCAAACTTCTACTCTCCTTACCCATTTCTACTTTGTATTGGACTGATGAAGCCACTGTGTGGCGAAACGTTTCTTCAATAAAGATTCCCATGTGTTGCATAAGTGTCTCAATTCTTTAACTTGTCGGTTTTCAAAACCATTCATCATACACAAATATTTCTGTTGGAGGTTGGATTAGAGAAGGTCTACTTCAGTGTTCATCCTCTGTAATGTGCTTGTGTAGTATTAACAGGAGAGACTGTGTGGTGGCAGGGTTTACTGTTTTCAGGAGGATTCTTGCCAGAATCCTCCTGATTGCTTGACAAAGCTCCTGGAGAGCGAAACGTTGTCACAATAAAATGTCACATTAGTTACACTTTACATCTGGTACCTACTGGCTGCTAAGTGAACAGGGACAGCAGATGTCTTAAGGAAACACGCCCCACGGTTCCCACCCATATAGTGGATCGAACTATGGACCTCAGTGTGTGAGCTGAGTGCGCTACCAACCAAGTTACGGGTTAAGGCACTCTGAAATTATCGCATGAAAACCAGTATTCTAATTTTCCCAATTTCTTCCATTAAAAAAGGAGCAAATTATAACGTACTCAGACCCAAATAAGTTCAAACTATTATCTAAATAACGCTGACCATCGTTAAAAGATTAAGTAACTGGACAAGTAAGCATGTGAATGTATAAGTGAATAACTAAAGTGTACTGAACACTTGTCAATGTTCAATAATAACTTATATGGAGACAGAAACTCAGGAAATTAATTGATCTGTATATTTCGACTATCTTATAGGATCCTCTTCAACAGATGGATCCCAGAAGAGGACCAAAATAAACAGATCAATTAATCTCCTGTGTGTCTTCTTGTGGATTAATAAATATATAAGTAAGCAAATAAGTAATTTAATTTAGACTTTATATTCATGACAGGTCGTTTACAATGATCTTGAACGACCACAGACGTTATAGGCATATAAAAAATTATCATTACAATACATTTTCCAAATATTTCGCGGCAACCAGTTTGTTTAGTAAAATTGGCGCCTCAAAACTTACAGCCTTAAGTCAAGGAGAAACTTCCACTGAGGAAAGCAAATAAAAGTTTGAATGCGACCTGAAGATGCATTCTACAGTTACGCATATTACTTAATCCTGAAGAATGGTTCAACCGTTTCGTAAGATACATCATCCATTCAAGATTGACGCCTGTAAGAATTTTTCTGTTTTGCTCAGTAAGAAACGTTAAACCAGAAGGTGTCATACATGTACTGGGGGATGAGAGTGATTCAGAGTCATTCCCAAGATGGGAAAGATAGAAAAATAGCCACAAATGCAGTATAATGCCATCCTTTATTGACAACGTTTCGCCCACACAGCGGGCTTTATCAAGTTACAAACAGATCTGCTTGTGACTTGATAAAGCTAACCGTGTGGGCGAAACGTTGTCAATAAAGAATGATATTATACTGCATTTGTGTCTACTTTTCCACCATGTCGGTATTTTATACCATTTATCTCCATCGACGAGAAGGATAATTCCAATTCCCTGGATGAAGAGCTTCTCGCCAGCATAATGGCGCCCTCCTTGAGGAGACAAGCTTCACTTATCCAAAGCAAAATAATATTATACCATTTCGAGAACAAAAGTTACAAAATTGTACCAATTCTGGAGTGCCAGAACCACTTTTTCTCTGAGTAAGATACATGAGTTCTGAAATTTTGGAGGGGGTTCGGGGGTCAACGCCCCCGCGGTCCGGTCCGTGATCAGGCCTCGTGGTGGGTCAGGGCCTAACAGTAACAGCCTGGTAATCAACCAGGCTGTTACTGCTGCCCACACGTAAACCGACGTATGAACCACAGCCCGGCTGGTCAGGTACTGGCCACCGGGCTTCCATGTAAAGCCGACCTGACAGGCTTTCTGAAGTTATAAATGAAAATCATGGAGGAAATTAGTGGAAGACACGAATGTTATACCTAACAATATGACAGACTCTCACAAATTGCTAGGAAAATCGAACACTTAATTGTTATGTTTTTTTGGTACGAATTTAAGCCAGCTGCCCCATTCTTATGTACCGTGTTTTTGTCTTCCACAAACTTCCGGACCCCGTGGCCTGGTGGCTCCAGCTCTCGCTTCACACGGCGAGTGTCTGGGTTCGATTCCCAGCGTGTTTCTTTACACCGGTTGTCTATATTTACCCATCAGTGAAATGGGTACCTGGGTGTTAGTGGACTGGTGTGGGTCACATCCTGGGTGTTAGTGGACTGGTGTGGGTCACATCCTGGGTGTTAGTGGACTGGTGTGGGTCACATCCTGGGTGTTAGTGGACTGGTGTGGGTCACAACCTGGGTGTTAGTGGACTGGTGTGGGTCACATCCTGGGTGTTAGTGGACTGGTGTGGGTCACATCCTGGGTGTTAGTGGACTGGTGTGGGTCACATCCTGGGTGTTAGTGGACTGGTGTGGGTCACATCCTGGGTGTTAGTGGACTGGTGTGGGTCACATCCTGGGTGTTAGTGGACTGGTGTGGGTCGCATCCTGGGACAAAACTGACCTAATTTGCCCGTAATGCTCAGCATAGGTAGTTTCAAATTTAGGTTGGATAAGTACATGAGTGGGAGGGGTTGGATTTGAGTGGGACTTTCACATCAGAGCTTATTTCTTGGGTAGCATTGAAAATTGGGTTGGGCAAATGTTTTGTTAATGGGATGAATTGTAAAGGACCTGCCTAGTATGGGCCAACAGGCCTCCTGCAGTGTTCCTCCTTTCTCATGTTCTTATGTTCTTATAACAAGCGGCTTTCTATCTACTGTAGTAGTATGTCATTGATGTCAGCTAGACCTGTATACCTTGTACAT